TACATATACATACATATATAGAGAGAGAGGGGGGGGGAGGGAGGGAGGGAGAGAGAGAGAGAGAGAGAGAGAAATTGAATCTAGATCTGTGGTTCTCAAAGTGTGTTCCTCAGACCAGCAGCAGCATCAATTAGGAACTTTTTAGAAACACAGACCCTCGGCCCCTCCCCAGAAACTCCTGAATCAAAAACTCTAGGGAGGGCCCAGCAATCTCTGTTTGAACAAGTCTCCCAGGAAAATCTGATGCACACTCAAGTTTGAGAACCACTGTTCCAGATCAGAGGTTGGCCAACTACAGCCTTCAAGCAAAATCCGGCCCTCTGCCTATTTGTGTAAATCAAGCTTTATTGACACCCAGCCATGCCCATTCATACACGTATGTCTGTGGCTGAGTTTATGTGACAATAGCAGGTCTGAGTAGTTCCAACAGCCTGGAGACCTGAACATATTTACTACCCAGCCCTTTACAGAAAGTTTGCCGAACCCTAGGCTATATGAAAGCATATGGGATCTCTGTGCTGTTCTTCCAACTTTTCTGTATGTTTGAAGTTATTTCCAAATAAAAGATTACAAGAAAATCAAGAATTCTGCTCCCCTCCCCAGGGGACACCTCTTTCTGTGAATATGTTTATTTCGAAGGAGAAATGATAGGTTTGATGTGCAGTTGTATTTTCTTTCTAATAAAAGTTAAATAAATGCAGGGCTAGGATTTCAAATGATGATCCACAGCTACTTAAATCCTTCTGAAGCCTGCACAGAGGGGCACTGGCCACTTGGGGACCACTGGAGAGCCCTTATTGAGGAACACCAGCAGTCTTGCCTCCCTCTGTCCCAGACCTCTTCCTGGGCCTCCCAGGAGGCATGGAGCCCTAGGCAGGAACTGAAAATGGCGGTAGAAATTGGAACAGGGCAGGGGAGAAGTTGCTGATGGTGGCGTCGGCCAGGGTATCTCAAGTGGGTGTGTTGCAGGCACATGGTTTTAGCAGCCAACCTCACCTTCTCGCGGACAGGCCTCAGGTCTGGGGTGACAGTGAAGACGTTTATGAGCACTGCAAGAAAGAAGAGAGGCTTGCAGCAGCTCCGGACAGTGGCCAGCCCTCCCTCCAGCCTGTGTCAGCCACCCACCTCGGTGCTGGGGCCTGTACACTGGCTTGTCGGTCTGAATGAACACAGAGGCTCCCCGGCCATCCACAGTCACTGAGGTCTGGTTGTGGAAGAGGGGGCCCTCCTCTGCTCGTCGGCCAAGGCCCCACACCTTCAGGAGGGCCTGGCCCCGGAGACCCGTGGGCACCTGCAGGCAGAGCACGGAGCTTTGGAAACGGGGTGTCGCCCTGGAAGGGACCTAGGTGTTGGGAAAGCCACGTAGAGGTTTAGGGTTGGGGTGCCCATCCAGGGGCGACTGTGCCCCCCAGGGGGCACTTGGCAGTTTCTGGAGACACTTTTGAGTGTCACAGCTAGCAGGGGCGGGGGGAAGGGGAGAGTGCTACTGGCATCTAGTGGGTGGAGGCCAGCGATGCTGCTCAACAGGCTAGAGACTCCCCCAAAGGGTCTTGGATCCTTAGACTAGTTCTGGATTAATATTTCTCAACCTGGGGTAGCGGTGGGAAGGATTCTTCCCCCTCCACAGGGGACACCGGTAGTGTCTGGAGACATTTCCGGTTGTCATAACTGCAGATGAGGATGCTACTGGCATTTAGTGGGTTAAGATCCACTGGCCCCCCTCCCCCAGAATTAAACAGTCCTTCATCGGTCTCCATACAAATCCACAGCACCTATCCTGGGAAGAGTGACTTCTTGTGTGTGATAGACAGGGACAGCGCATCATCTTAACCCCTGTCCGGGGCATCCCTGCTTTCTGACTCACCAGAAAACAGATCTGCTCAGAGGAAGCTGGCAAGGGTAGCTGCAGGGTATTTATCAAGGGTTTCCCAACTGTTGACATCAGGGGCTGGCTCGTTCTTGGTGGGGGGCTGTCCTGGGCACTGTGGGGTGTTGAGCAGCATCCCTGGTCTTCACCCACTAGATGCCAGTAGCAACCACCCCAAGAGTGACATGTCTCTAAACATGGCCAAAGATCATGGGCGGGAAGGGACTAAACATCCCTCCCAGGTGGGAACTGCTGCCTTAAAGAAAGGGTTCTACTATTGCCCTCTGTGCCACAGCACTTAGGCACTAATGACACATCCCGCTGGAAGACGAACACCTCAGACTTCATTCTAATCACGGGGGGAGGGCACATTGTAAATCAGAATGATTCTCGAGGTAGCCCATTCATTCAGGGACTCCTCTGAGCATCTGGTAAAAGTTAAAGGCTAGCTAACCCAGTAAATGCCTACAATTTCAGGGCTTACAAACCCCTTGAAATCCAAGGACTCCAGTTTAAAAAACCCACATCAGAGAATTACCTACAGTGTCGTTGGGTCCGTAAAATAATTTTAAAATAACAATATTCAATGCTAACGCAGCTGTGGGAAAATTGGTCTCTAATGTACAGCAGGTGGTGCCATGCGTGAGCCCAGCTGTCTTCTAAGACAAAACAGGACAGAGCAAGAGGCCTGGGTTTTCATCTGGTAATTAGACCAGGCAGGCATCCAGGACGCTAATGTAGTTTTACATACAAAGATGCTCGCAACTTTCAGATTGCATTATCCAAATCCTAAAAACAGTTTTTAAAATCTAACTGTGTACAAGGTGAGAGGCTAGTAAATTCGTACAACTGACCCTTGAACAACACGGGGTTGAGTTGCAGATTTTTTTCAATAAATACAGTTAGCCCTCCATATCTGTGGGTTTTGCATCTGTGGTTGAAAACAGAATTTTCAATCTGTGGCTGGGAATCCACGGGTGTGGAGGGCCAACAGTATGCATTGTTCTACGCCACTTTATGCATGGGACTTGAGCACCTATGGATTTTGGTATCCGAAAGGGGGTCTTGGAACCAATCCCCGGATACCGAGGGCAGACTGTAGTTAAGTTTTGGGGGAGTCAAAAGCTATATGCAAATTTTTGATTGCACGGGTGGGAGTGGGTGCTGGTCACCCCTGCATTGTTCAAGAGTCAACTGTAAATAAAAGAGATGCAATGGGATGCTGTTTACAACAGAACGCCAATTATACAATTACAGAGACTTGAAAACATGGAAGTATGTTTATGTAATGTGTTGAGAGAAAACAGCAGGAAACACCATGGTGTATACCCTTTAATTGCAACTATGAAAGAACATGTCTTCATGTGGACAAAGATTTGTAGGAAACATGAAAATGTGAAAAGTATGGGGAATGGGATTATGGGTGACTTTTCCCCTTTTCTAAACTTTTTCTTCATCATTCGTTTTTTATATTACTGTTAATGACTTTTCTTGAAACACATGTAATGTTTCTTGTCCCATTTCAATTCAATTCTTATTTCCAAGGTAGGGTTTAACATTTTAAAAATTCATTGCTTACCTTGAGTTTGATCGTCCCTTTATCTAAAAAATGAAAATAAAATGAGAACAGTTAAATCGGGAGCTGTGTTTTCCTGCCCCTCTGGGCTGCAGCCTTATAAACAAGGGCTTTCTCAACCTAGAGGGGTTTTCTGTGGACTAACATACACCTGGGTCATGCTGGTCTGGCTTGGGCTGGGCTGGAACTGGCAGAAGTGAGAGATTTCCTTCAAACTGGCAAGAGCTGAAGGCCGGAGGGGACGGACAAAGCCGAGCTATTCAGGGGAAAGTTGGCCGGCCTGCATACTTGATTCACTTCACCCCTGGCCCCTGCCCAAGGTAAGCTGTGAGGGGAGCAAAGAGAAAACTCCAGGGAAGAGGAACAGGAGAAGTGTGGAGAGAAAGAAGAGGAGGTTGAGATCCCAATGGACCCCACTCCAGTGGAGATGACTGGTCTCCCATCACCTCTCTCTTCTACCCAAACAAAGTCATTTGCTACTATGACACCTCTCCAGGCTTCCTGGCCTCTAGGACTTGATTAGGCATCTACTGTTTCTGCCTCTCAGAATCAATTCCCCCATTTCCTGCTAGCCAAATCCCCATTTCCTTGGGGAAACCACCTACCCAGCTCCCGGTCCATGTGGTTTGGTGGGACTCTGTGTAAATGTACATAGGTCTTCCCCCTGATCACAGTGATTGGCTCAAGGCTGAGCACATGACCTAAGATGGGTCAATCAGAGGGAATCCTGGGACTTTCCCCAGAGGCCCTAAGAACCCCCTCACTCCATCTTAGCTTTAAGGAGACACAGGCCCATCCAGAAATGGGGTCACAAGATGGCCAGCGATGCCTGTGGACTTTTCTAGTTATGAGAAAATTCTCTGTTGCTGAAGCCAACCTGAGTTGGGTTTTGGGGCTAGCCACCAGGGTGGGGACTGCCCACACTCCCTGTATCCATCCAAGACCTTCTCCTAATTTCCACTCCAGGCCAGCCTCCCCATGTCCCCCCAGGGGACAGGTGCTGCCCCACAGGAGCCCCAGCAGCATCCCTGTGTCTCCTGTGGCTGCACCCTGCTCTGCATGAGGAATAAGTCAGCTGCTCTTCCAGACGGGGAGCCCCTGAGGCAGGGCCCTGCTCTCGCCACCTTTGTCCAGGAGGTCAGCACTGTTGTTATCTGTAGCTCACTAAGCAGACTGGCTGAGGGCCTGAGCTCCGCTTAGTGACAGGGCCAGCCATGAGACCAGATCTGGGTCTAAAACCACAGGAGTACTGAGAGCTCAACAAAAGGTCTGATATGATCACAGGGTTCCCTCCAGGTCCTGGTCCCACTTCCAGCCAAAGCTGACCAGAAGGGTGCCTGACTCCATCCAGGTTTGTACCGATAGAACCTGGGCTGCCAAGGAACAAAGCACTCTGATTTCCCAGACTAGGCATGTGGCTGACCCTCCTGGGCCTTACTCTCTCCATCTGTGAAACAGGGAGAACTCAACCTGCCCTGCCACCCCTGCTGGGGTTCTGGAGAGGTAGGGTGGGCGGAGGCAAAGCAGTACCCACCCTGCTGGAGCCCTGAAGGTCAGAAAATGGCTCCGCTGTGCAAAGGGAGAGGACGCGCCGGTCAAGCACCCCAGGGACCTACCCAGAATGGCTCCCTGGTTCCGTGCCACAGCCTCGCCCTGGGCCACCAGCTGAGCCTGGACCATGACTTTCCTTGGGGAGTTAAAGATGGTCACGCTGATGACTTCTTCCACTCCTGAGCGGAAGACAGAGGGTGCAGTGATCAAATAGCCCCTGCAGGAAAGGAGAATCACGGTGAAGACCAAGGGTTGTCTGACCCACGCCTGACCTCACCATCCTGGCTGGGTCAGGGTGCACCCTGGGCGGACTTCCACCTATGCCTGACCACATTCTGACAGCATGGTCGCTTTATGCGTCGGTGTTCCCCCACCAACCTGTGAGCTCCTAAAGACCATGGATTGGCTTATTCACCTCTGAAGCCCCCCTCTTCCCCCCGATTAGGTAAGAATATGGGCTTTCTGGATCAACCCAGCAACACACCGCCCTTTGGCTTCAACATTCTGGCCTCTGGCCTTTGCTCTGTCATAAACCTTTGCACATGTGGCACCCACAGTCTGAAATACTCTCCCTTGTAGGCTGAGTCACGGGTAGGACCCTATTTCATCCTCACAGCCACCCTGTGAGAAGTGAGAATAGCTCCCACTTACAGAGTCAAAAATCAAACCCTGGAGAAGCCAAGTCATGTGCCTGAGTCAGTGAGAGACCAGGATTTGAACTCAGGCAGCCCAGACCCTGGAGCCCAGTGAAAAGAAGCAAGGAGCTTCCTACAGCATTAATTTTAAGAACAAAAACCTGAAAACAGGCCGGCCGAGTGGCTCAGTTGGTTAAGAGCGCGAGCTCTGTGCAACAGGGTCACCAGTTCAATTCCCACGTGGGCCAGTGAGCTGCGCCCAAGCTGAACTGTCAATAGGTGGCAGGGTGGTTCAGCTGGTAAGAGCACGTGCTCCTAACAACAAGGTTGCCAGTTCAACTCCCACATGGGATGGTGGGCTGTGCCACCCGCAACTAAGATTGAACACAGCACTTTGAGCTGAGTGGCCGCGAGCTGCCGATAGTCAGCCGGATGGCAACTGGACTTGGAGCTGAGCTAGCTACACCCTCCACAACTAAGACTGAAGGACAACAACTTGGCTGCTCCCCTTCCCCAATTCCCCAACACTGTTCCCCTTCACCAATTCCCCAATAAAATCTTAAAAAAAAAAAAACACCTGAAAGCAAACGAAATAGCCTGAAACAGGAAAAGCTCCAATGAAATAAAACAGCCATCTCTTTCTGAAAATCCTCAACCTGACTGTGAAGACACTTCTGGAAAAAAGATGTCATTATCCTGCTTTCCAGACACAAAAGCTGACCTTGCAGAAGGAGAAGACATGTGCCCAGATGACACAGACAGGTAGGAGAGGGCACCTGACCTGAGGCCCAGGCCTCCCCACCTGAGTTCCTGCCTCCTCATATTCTGCAGCATTCCACGGAAAACCACAAAGGCTCATCTGTAACCATGGGACCCGCTCACAATGCAGCAAGTGCCAAGAGCCCCAGCAGCAAAGGCAGCATGATTCCAACTGTGCACTACTACGGGCACAGAAGAAAACGGGCAAAAGGGAAAACTCCGGGCCAGATATTGAGATGAGGAAAGATTTTCATTTCTCAAAGTCCTCTCTGAGACAGCTCGATGTCCACATGCAAAAAAAGATGAATTTAGACCCTTATCACACACCATACACTAAGATGAACTCAATGTGGGTCAGAGATCTAAATGTAAAACTATAAAAGCACTAGAAGAAAATATAGGAGAAAAGCTTTGTGAGTTTCGGTTAGGCAAAGATTTAGTGAATAAGATACTAAAAGCACAATCCATCAAAGAAATCACTGATAAACTGGACTTCATTAAAACTTCATGAAGGGCCAGCCGGGTGGCTCAATGAATTAGAGCATGTGCTCTTAACAACAAGGTTGCCAGTTCGACTTCTGCATGGGTGGTGGGCTGTGCCACACACCCACACACACCCACACACACACACACACACACACACACAACTAGACTGAAAGTGGTGACTGAACTTGGAGCTGAGCTTGCGTTCTCCCCAACTAAGATTGAAGGACAACAACTTGATTTGGAGCTAATGGGTCCTGGAAAAACACAATGTTCCCCTTCCCCAATTCCCCAATAAAATCTTCTAAAACAAAAATTAAAAAGAAACTTCATGAAAAGTTTGGCATTTCAAAAGACACAAAAGGGGCTGTCGTGAGTCGACGGCGACGGTGTAGGCTGCAGCCCCTGCTGCAGTGGGTTGCCATGGGCTACCGTATGTAGCCAGCAGCCAGCGTGAGCGGCCAGCAGCCGCTGTGAGCGGCCATCCAGAAGCCAGCGACTGATCTGCCTCACCCGGGAAGAGCGCAATGATGGTGCCAACTTGGGCCAGTGAAGCAACGTCCTCCACAACTAGACTGAAGAACAAAAGGACAGCAACTTGTCTGTTCCCCTTCCCCTTATTCCCAGCGCTGTTCCCATCCCCCAATTCCCCAATAAAAATCTTTAAAAAAACCAAAAAAGACACAAGAGGTTCCTGTTGAGTACCATCCAGACGCAGCAGTGACCCTGGGAGTCCACTGTGCTCTCTCTGTCTACTTGAACAATGACCAGAGTTCACACACTCTGAGCTCCTACGAGTACTGACTGACTGCAGGACCGACCGGAGCCTGCAAGGACCTTGGGGACTTACCATCTATTGGGTTGTTGGAAAACTCATGACGTATTTTGTCTATGTTTTTCAAAGGTTTCATATAAATAACAAAGATCAGGGCTGGTTGAGTGGCTCAGTTGGTTAAGAGCTCGCTCAAGAATTTGAGCTCTGAGCAACAGCAGTTCGAGTCCAGCCCGAGCTGAGCAGCCGCTGAGCTGCCAACAGATAGCAGGATGGCTCAGCTAAAAAAAACACAAAGATCAATGATATATTGCCCGTTTTGTTTGATAACCTTTTGCCTTCTTTCAGTGAGCTTCATAATTCCTCGTTCATAGAAGGACCTGTCTTTATTTGCGAAAAACTGAACAAGGTGTTGATTTACAGCCTCATCTGAATTGAACGTTATACCATGCAAGGAGTTTTGAAGAGAACGAAGTGGAAGTCTGACGCCGCAAGGTCAGGCGAGTATGGTGGGTGTGGCAACACATCCTACCGAAGCTCCAATAATTTTTGACAGGTGATCAAACTTGTGTGTGGTCTTGCATTGTCGCGATGGAACACAACTCCTTTATAATTAACAAGCTCTGGACGTTTCTGAATGATGGATTCATTCTAACTGTCCAATTGATGACAGTACACATTTGAATTGATTGTTTGGTTCCTTGGTAGGAACTTGAAAAACACGACACCTTTAAAATCTCACGACACTGAGAGCATAAACTTCCTCTGATGAATGTCTGCTTTCGATGTCGTTTGAGGCGAATCATCACATCAGGACCAAGACTGTTTGCACACCACATTGTTGTAAACAATCTACTTCTCATCACCAGTTATCAGTCAATTCAAAACAGGATCGTTTTTCTCACATTTAATGAGCATATTGCAGATGTTTATACGCGCCGTCAAATGAACTTCTTCGAGTTCATGCAGAACCCAAATATCGAGCTTGCTTACGTATCCCAGCTTCTTCAGGTGGTTGTGAATGCTTGAATGATGGATGGTCAATGTTTCTGCAATCTCTCTTGTCGTGTAACGTGGGTTTGACTCGATCAATGCCTTTATTTTGTCGTCATCAACCTCGGTGGACCTGCCTGACCGAGGAGCATCGTTGAAATCAAAATCACCAGCATGGAATTTTGTGAACCATGGTTGGTACTGACATTCTTGTAGAGCATTGTTACCGTAAACTTTATGCAACTTTTCACAAGCTTGATGCGTGTTCTTCCCTTTATGGAAGTAAAACAGTAAAATATGGCAAAAATGCAGTTTGGTCTTCCATTTTCAACTTGTTGTAAAATCTCCAAAACTCAACCAAATCGCTCAAATTCTTTTTAGAATGAAGCTAGAATTGTCAGCTGTCAAATAACATAGCAATAACATAGATGAGAATGACTCTAGTACTTCCAAAAATGAACTAGTGCCATCTGTTGCAAACATGCGTCATGACTTTTCCAACAACCCAATACTATATGACTCCAGTGCTAATGAGAGTATACAAAGATCCTAGTTTCGTAGGTGTACTGGCCAGATCTAGCAATGACTGGAATAAGTAGTGACCCTGGCATCCCAAGTTCTGTCTGACTCTAGCACTAACAAGCACCTGCAGATTGGGTTTCTGTGTGCAGGATCTGGAACCCGTCAAGCACAGAGCGTGCACTGATCCTGGGTATGTAGCTGTACCTTCTAGAGCATGCAATGACCCTGGGTTTCATGGATGTACTGACCAGAATGTGTACTGACCCTGGATCCTATGTGTTCTATCCAACTCCACCAACCAACAGAGCGTGCAATGACACTGGGAACAGACGTGTACTGTCTTGAGCACAGGAAGACCCTTGCTTCATATGTGATGTGTCTGACTCTAGCACTGGCCAGAGGGTGCAAAGACCCTGAGCTCCCTTGTGCAGTGCTGGCCTCAGCGATGCACAGAGCATGCAGTGATCCTGAGTACATAACTGTACTGTCCAGAGAACAGTCACCCTAGAGACATGTTGTTACTATCTAACACCAGTACCACCCTAGGCATGCAGTGACCCTGGGCTCCTACGTGTCCTGTCTCGCTGCCACACAGGAATGTGGCATCCTTTAAGACAGAGTCTTTCTGTCCCGATCCCAGCTAACCCCTAGGGCCTCCCACTTAGCATGTGCTGAATGTGGCAGAACATCTGGGAAATATACAATCCACGTGTTTGTTTTCCTTGGTTAGCCCTTATCCAGATCTGAGTTACCATCTTCACCTAAAAGCCCAGAGGACCCGATGGAACCAAATGAACTTTCCCTGTGGGTTAGGAGCTGCCATGTTGGTATGCTCGCCAGCTGATCACAGTCAACCCTGGCATCTGTGCTGACATGGGCTTCTCATCCTTTGGACCTGAGAAAGGTGGTGTTTGGTAAAATGTAGACAGTGTTGGTCTTACAACAGTGTGCATAACTATGCTGCTTTCTGGGGCTGGGGAATCCTCATGAAAAAAACCACACAGGGCACAGAAGTGGGTATCAGGGCTATTACTAAAACAAGATCCTTCAGGCTGATGGACTACAGCTCGGAGGCTGGCTAATCTGGAACCCTGAGTTGGCCAATGTCTCCCAGCATGGGGGGGTTCCATTTCACTCAACAGTGGTTAAGATCCCAGGGCGAACTTAGTAAAATGCTCTGTTTAAAACTCAGCAACAAAGGGACTCTGAACTTGGCCCTTACAAGGCTGAGTCTCTCATTTAGGGCCTGGTCATGCTTTGTGTTGGAGGATGACCTGTGTTGTGCATGGCAGAATGTTTAGCAGCATCCCTGGCCCCCACCTAGCGGGTGTGACAATGCCAAAATGCCTCTGGACATTGCTGAAGGAAACAGATATCCCCTGGCTGAGATCGGATAATCTAAAGGGTGCCCCATTAGGACAAAAGTGTGCTGGGTTCTGACTTCGCAAGGCCCAGCGGAGGAGAATCCTGTTGCCCAAAGTGCAGTGTGGTGTCTTCCTTTTCAAACTGTGATCCCAAAGGAGCAGAGCAGCTGGAGGTGCTGCCGCCCACCCAGTCCCACTGGTGACCTGTTTTCTGGGAACTCCTAAACAAGAGCTGCTTAAACAAGTCACCTCATAAAGGCTGAGATGGATGAAGTGGCTGAGCTTGGGCAGCGGGAGGCAGGCCTCCTGAACCCACAGCCTTGCAAGGCTCACCCGAACTTGGCAGGTTTGGAAAAATTCCCTCTGAAGCCAGCTCATGGGAAATTCTCCTTAGCATCTAGTTAATTTACCTCCTCACTGTGTCAACCCACCAGAAGCTCTGTAAGCAAACTTCAAGAAAAATGTGGAAGCCAAACAAACACTTCCTCCCCCACCACCACCAAGCCCTCCCAAGGAAGGCGGAACGTAGGTCTCTCCTATTTCTCAGCCAAGACTCTACCTCTTACCTTCATGCCACAGACAACTTGAAATTGCCACCCCAAAAGACAGCCCCGTCGCACCAAGTGGCGAGGTGGGGTGCGGGTAGACTCGTAGCCTGAGCTCTGGGGCGTCCCTGTACCTCCACAGGGCCACTTCTAAAGCCTCAGGTTGCCCCCTTTCCCAGTTTGACCCGTGGGGATCGGGGGACGAGACTCTAGGTACCGCCCTGCGCGGAAGCTGTGTGGCCTTGAACAGGTCGCTGCACCTCTCTGAGCCAGTCTCCGAGACCACCACCCCGAGAAGGAGGCCAGCCTCTTCTGTCGCCCGGGGCTACTCACGAGGCCTGGGGCTGTGAAGCGTGCACGCCGTCCCGCGGCGACAGCAGCAGTAGGAGCCAGAGCAGCGACCAGAGCAGGGCGCCCCACATTTTCCGGCTCCGCGGAGGCGCCACGCCGGGGATAAGGGGTGGGCCGGGGCTGGGCCGGGGCCGGGGTCCAAGCGCCGCCGTCCCCGCTGCGCCGCCGGGGGCCCTTTGTTCACAGCCCCCGCGCCGTGCGCCCGGCGCCATGCGCCCCGCTCTGCGCCCGGCCAGGTTGGGGCAGCGGGGACCAGCCCTCTCCCCGACCAGCTTCGGCCCCG